CCTTGGCAATGTTGTCTTTGGTTTGGCTCTTACCTCTCAACTGGTTTTAAATGACTTGGGTTTGGGTGGATTGTATTTTCTTCGTCTCGATGGTTCCTTTCAGAGACTGGCCGGTTTGTCTCTTTCCAACCCACGCCAACTCCCCTACTTTATATGACCAAAAATACCCTCGCCACTTTCTTCCGATAAAGGCAAAGAGCAATCCCACTAAGTTGGTTAAACTTCAATATGTAAGACGACTGCAACTTGGCAATCCCAGAGAATATGAGAAACGAGTTTTGGACAAGCCTCAAAAACCAGGAACTAGAACTGAAATTTGTCTGAATGATGAGATAAATTTCTAGTTCAACTAGAAAAATTAACTCCTAATTTACAAAGAAAATCAAACACGAACCGAATCGAAAAAGGAAAAACCTAAAATAACAAAAACGGGAAAGTTTCCCAAAGTCTTTAAACACAAGGTACCTAAACAAAATTTCCTTTTTCATATAGTATATTCGTCTTGAAATTTTGGATGGAGAATAAGTTTGATGCACTTCATAAAATTGCATGTAATAGTTTGTCCAAACAACATTGTTTGGCTAGCCAAAGATTCGTTAAAGCTTTAGCCATATTGGCTCAAGAATCTTATGTTCTTTTCTTTTTCCACACTTGAGGCAAATTACACTAGCTAGTTAAAGTTAAAAGTAAATGGCTCCTAGGTAAAGTTAGTTTGAATCCAAACAACCCCAAGTGAGTGCATGTAGCTTCTACACCTCGGCAAACCCTAGCTATATTGGCTCATGAATCATATTTACCTTTTTCTTTGCTTCCACTTCTTTGCACATTTGTTCTTAAGCGTATTAGGGGAGGAAAAGAGAAGACCGAGAAAGAGAGTCTTCTTTCCCATATCCTTTTACTTGAGAGATGCATAGAAAAAGTTGAAAGAGAAACGTTTCACCTTTTCTTTTGTTCAAGAATCAAGAGAAATGTTTTACTTAATTAGGGCCAATTTTCTTTTCCTCTGTCGTGTCGCTTTTTATGATTCGACATTGTATATCTAATTTTATATGATCTTTCTTAATTCTAAACAAAAATGATTTTTTTTTTTAAAACTAATTAGTACACTCATGAACATGTGCCAAGAGACCAGTATATATTGTATCATATTGTAATTTGTTTATGTGGCATCATGGCATCATAATCTAGCAATATTCATAAAATAATAATCAATAAATTATTGTAAATGGGAAAAAAAATTAAAATTAACCGTGAATGCTTGGTAGAATTGTTGGTCAAGTGGTAAAATATATAAAGGAGCCCTAAGATCAATCCTTTTGAGAAGAGGACAAACAAATGTACATGTAATATTCGGTCTTGTATATATTTAACAAATAAAAAAAAATCAAAAAGTTAATTACGTGATTAGGCCAAATTGACCTCTTAAAAAGGGGTTAGCAGCCAAAATGTGCTGTATGCGGATAAGGGTTGAATCAAAATACGTGGGAATGATAGGGACCAAATGAGTGTCGTCCTACGTACTTATGTTTTATTTTCTTCTTCTTTGGCGACTTTACCAGGTGGCCTTGCATTCAAATACACCCTTTTATACCGTCAAATTTAGCTTCCTGTATATAATAACACGTGCAGCAATAGGGTCCAAGTTTGGCTCTGGATTGATAATTTTTTTAATTAATGATTAAACGGATCTTAATTAATTGTTAGGAAAGCAATATGACGAAGCTTAATTTGATCAAGTTAGTTAAGAATCCGAGTTTGCCAGAGGCAGTGAATTTTGTGTAGGTTGGTAAAGTATATATATTATATGATATTGCATTTGCATGCATGAGATATCAAATAAAATTCCTTAAACATATATATATATATATATATATATATAAACCGACATTGAGGGATCCTTTAAATTAGCTTATTTGAGGGACACCCTTATAAGGCCCACTTCGTATTGTATTCACTAATCCAAACCGTCTATTTTGTAGATACTCATTCAAAGATCATCTCTACAAAAAATCACTTGAATCCGTTATCATTTGACCGCTCAATTGAATTATTGAAATTTTAGTATTTTCAAGCACCGTATTCATTGATTTTATAGGACACAATTGGATATAGAAACGGTTTCCGATTTGTCTAATTTTTTTTTCAAAGATGATTTATGAATGTAGACTTAAAAAATAGATTGTTTGGGTCGTTAAAAAAAAAATTGGTAGGGGACCCTTAATATTTATTTTTAAATAAAATTTTATATTGTTTCTTACGATTGAAAGGATGACATCTCGTTATCGGATTGAAAGGTGAAAAAAATGATGAGCAAGAGAGAGACAAGTTGCGGTGAAGTTTCTCTTTTAGCAATTTGCAAACAAAGTGGCTCTCCCCCAGCCAGGCATGTGAATCGTGATCTCACTGCTAAAAGAGATAAAAAGAAAGTCTTACATTTCAAAGGTGAAAGGCCCTTTATTAATTTTCTTCAAATTAAAGCTAGCTAGCACTTGTAGTAGTCGATCGTCATCAAACCTCTGGAAATAGCTAGTAAAGATCTAAAGGAATGCATCATATTTATCCCTTGCTCATCACCTCTCTCTCTCTCTCTCTCTCTCTCTCTCTCTCGTCTGATTCGTCGACAGACACATATATGTTCAACAATATATATGGTGAATATAGTTTCCTTGCTACATTCAATTGGATTTTTCTTGAACTAGACCATCTTCAAAATTTCAATTTAAAAATTTTAGTTATATTATTTTGGATTTTTTAATTATTAAGGTTTTTGGTGTGGTTTTTGGATGTATGGTAGAAAAATACCAATAGCACACTAATTATAAAAAATTCTATAGTTTTTGGTTAATTAGTTGTATTTCTCTTCTTAATGTCATAAGAGATCTCAAGTCCAAGTCCCTAAATCCGTTGATTCAGTATATATTCTCTCTCTTTTTTAATCCGTGGATGAATCAAAACAAGAATATGCATGTATGTTTATGCCCCCAGTCAATTATCACTTGGTCAATGCTATCTTTTTCCATGGATCCAAAAGGATTTGTATATACGCGAAAGGAGAGGATCGAGAGAAATCCAATCCAAAGAAGTTTTTGTAAAGAACATGCATGCTTTTGTTAAAGAGGAAGCATCATGGAAGAAGGAAAAAAGGAGGTATGCTCAAAAGTAAGTTTATGAGGTGCAAATGCATGCGATGCATGAACGAATACACACAGCTCCACATGTATATGTTTGCCCAAAGACATGCCTCTTTTCAAGGGCCCTATCATTCTACACCAATTTGGTTGGAAAATGCAACAATATACAAGGGCAAGCCTTGCATTTGAAGGGTCATGGCTAGCCCTAGCCATATGCATGCATGCAAGTTGAAAACCATGTTAGGAGGGGAACAGTAAATTTTGCAACAAAAAAACATCTGTTATGGTGATAAGCCAGTTGAACTTTAAAGTTGAAAAGCAAGAAATGGTTATTGCTTGCTTATAGTTGTTGTTGTTTTTAGAGTTGTGAATTTTTTTTGATAAGGTAACATCCTCAAGCTATAATTTAGCTTTTGCTTTTTAGGTATAGCTAAGCTAGGCTGCTGTCCATCTTCGCATGGTAGCGTATTTTGGTCATCATGCAATAGTCGGCGCTGCAAACAAGTCCTGAAAATAGTGTCAAAAGAGGAAAATGCCTCATCATGTAGGCCCTTTTGCTATTTTGTTTGGTTTGAGTGCATGGCTCCAATTGGTGATCCTCTTGAATCTTATATTATTTTCAGTCAGAGTTTGATTCTCACTCCTTTTGTTCACTGATGTATATCTTCCAAAAAGTGAAAACATCAATTGCTTGCCTAACTCAAGTTAAAGAGCCTTGATAAAAAAGCTTTTTCAAAAGAAAACCTAATGTTTAATTCATTTGGATTGATAAATAACAAATAATAATTCGTTGATGCATTTATTAGGAATGGGAGAAGTGGTGAATCAAGAAAGTTAGGAATATGATATAGAGAAATGAAAATGCGATCAACTACTTTCATAATCAATCTAATTTCTAGTTTGTTCGGTAATTCCTCGCTTTTCAGGTATTGAATTACAGTTACGAATATGTACATGATAAAACCTACCTGGCACTTTTAGATGCACCAAGTAATTTTAGTAGCAATGCATGTCGGTTTTTCTTCTTCTTCAAAAGAGCAATTAAGATGTGTAGCATGGAAGGAGGGAACTGGTAGGGGCCATGCACTGGATAAGGCTAAACTGTTCTGGTTTCAGTTTCAATCTTTGCCATTCATATCCATCAAAAGAAGAAAAAAGAAAAAGAGAGAAATGGTGCTTTTGTCACTCATACTGCTCATTGAGTCATTCAGTCGAACACTAGTCGGGCTTAAATTAGACGCTCGATACAAGCAAACTAAGCTGCCGACTCTTAATTAAGTGGCTTCACCTTTATGGTCAGGTTTGGGCTGCAATAATATGTGGCCGAAGACTGGTTCATCAAAAACCCAATGGAATCGGTTGGAGCATCCCAAGTTTGAAAACCGATGGATCATGGGCTGATTGATTATTTCAAATATATAACTATTGTTAGGCTTTGGATTTAATAATTTATTCAAGCTCATTTTATGCATTAAATTTCAAACCAATTTGATACTTTTTTTTCTTTCATTTTACTACTTTGAAGTCCTCATGTAGGACACAAAACAAAAACAATTTTATACCATTGTAGTTTAATGAAATTTACATTTTTTAAAGATAGTTTTTGTATTTCGTTTGGAGATTAGGACCTAAGGTTTAATCTTTCAGGCTAACTCCCTAACCCTAAATTTCTAAACATTATTAATTAAGTGAAAATATAAACATTTGGGCGTTTTGAGAAGATTAAAATATATCATCAAAGCACGACACTCTCATATGAAGTTACGAACCATTTTTTTTTTTCTTTTTCAACAGTTATAACAAAAAAGATTGTATAAATAAACTATACGAAATCTCATGGATCACATAATAAGAAGAAAACCATAAAACAAAATCTGTAGTCATTTCTTGTTTTTAAAAAAAATCTGTAGTCATTAATTTTAAGAAAATTAACACACAAACAGACTCTCTCTCTTGCTCTGTTTCTCTTTTCTCTCTCTATCCCTGTCTCATATCGGGCTATCTATCAGCTGCTGGCTTCTCAAATCTTCGTCTCGCTTTGTCTTTGGTTTCTCTCTCTTCTCTCTTTCTCCCTCTATCTCTTTCACTTACAATGCGCTGTTAATGAGTTTGATGTCTCACCCCACAAAACGCTCCTCAGCCATCAACAACAACACCATTAGCAGCACCTCCTCCTCTCTCAACCCTTCTTCAGGCCCACCCATGAAAAAGGCCAAGTCTCAGGCCGTCGCCTGTTCCCTCGATCCCAGCAAGAATGGCCTCCACCACCACCACCACCACCATCCCCACACTCACCCTTCTCAGGACTCCGATAACGACGTCGTATTCGACCCCTCTACCATGGCCCTCGACGAAGATCTCAAGTCCGACGACCCCTCTTCCCGTGCCGTCGCCGCCAATTTGTCCCGCAAAAAGGCCCAGCCCCCTCAGCCTACCAAGAAGCTCGTCATCAAGCTCCTGAAAGGTACGCCTTCTTGATCCCAAAGCTATAATTTTGATATGCTCTAGTCGGATAGTGATTTCTAGGTTTTGTGGGATTGAATAACATCTTTGATTTTGCTTCGGGGTTTTGGGGCTTGGGCGATTTGTTGAATTAGGTTTTGGGCTTTGGGCCTTTTGGCTCTGCTATTAGGTCGAATTGATACGTGGTTTCGACATGGATGCTTAAATTTGATGTGGGTATTATCCAATATTGCAATTTGTGTCGTAATAGGCGGGAACCCTGAATTCTTTTTATCTTTTTGGTTTAGATGCTTGTCCTTAATTTCATTTCTACGATAATTCAGCGGCTAATGTTTTTAACATTGGTGCTTGAGTTTCATGCGCGTTCCATGCAATTTGCATGTTTTTGATGAAAAATGTTTCACCTGGGGTGACTGTACTTGGCTGCTTGAGCACTGTCTGGTCAGTGATTGAACTGGGAAGTTCCATTTCTGTTAATGGCAATCTGAATTAGGTTCCAGCATTGCTTTCCCAGATTCTCTATGCTTAGGAAGTACTCGGTGCATGAGTGAAGTGAGGGTTTTGCATGACATATAGCTGGAGCTTATTACCTGATGTATTTTAGTATCATTAGGTCTGAATTAGTGTTAGTGCTTTTTATGCGCTGTTATATATAAGCGAAAATAGCAGTGCATAGCACTTGATTAACTTGATAGAATTTACAGTGTTTCTATTAATGATGACATAAGTTCCAGAGTCTTTACAATGCCATGTTCATTTTCCCACGGAATACATACTGAAAAAGGTTACTGACATATTTCATGTTCGTTTTTTCCTTTTGCCTCAATAAAGCCAAACCCACGTTGCCCACAAATTTTGAAGAGGAAACATGGGCAAAGTTGAAGTCAGCCATTTGCGCTATATTTTTAAAGAAACCTGATTCTTGTGACTCAGAGAAGCTTTATCAGGTAGAACAACCACATTTCTCTTCGTATTAAATGCAATTTTTTTCTTTCAATGTGGACATATGTCATGCATAAGGAATTCACAGAAAACAAACTATGTTCTCCTCAGGCTGTTAATGATCTTTGCCTGCACAAGATGGGAGGAAGTCTTTATCAACGAATTGAAAAGGAGTGTGAAAGACACATAGCTGCAGCACTGCAATCTTTGGTTGGCCAGAGTCCAGACTTGGTGGTTTTTTTATCACTTGTTGAGAGATGCTGGCAAGATCTTTGTGACCAGATGTTGATGATTCGTGGTATAGCCTTGTATCTTGATAGAACATATGTGAAACAAACACCAAATGTGCGTTCATTGTGGGACATGGGACTGCAGCTTTTCCGCAAACATCTTTCTCTCTCTCCAGAAGTTGAGCACAAAACTGTCACGGGCCTCCTAAGACTGATCGAGAAAGAAAGGTTAGCCATATTCTATCAATTTAAGCAAATCATATGCTGTAGGACAGGCAATATGACTTGGGAAAAGTAGGTTTGGGAAAAGTAGTTTTCAACAATGATTGTAAACTTTCAAGACTAAATTTTATGTCCTTCCCATATTTCTCCCATTTCTAAAGGTGCGTGAGGGTTCTTTGTTGTAGGTTAGATTGGGAATCAATTAGGCAAGGGTTTGATGGATGAATGTTCTCAGGGATGTTATGTTATATGTTATAGGCATTGAGATCTTCTCAGTTTCGAAAGAAACTTGTCATGTTTAAGTTAATAATATATGGCAAGATTGTGCCACTCATCATCTCACTGAGAAACCCACTTAATGCATACACTAATGTAATGTTTTTACAACTTTTCATTCCATGATGTGGGGTCGGTAAGGGTTGCCACTGGCAGCACCATGTTTGTCTTATTTATGGGTTGGTCATCAGTAGTATGTGTGACATGCCAGATAAGCAGCCACACCACAAAGTAAAAAGCTTTTTAGAAAGTAGAGAGTAAAATGAAAAAAGAAACGTTTTTCTCCTACCAAAACATTAAACTTCATGGGTTTTTGAACTTGATAAATTAAGTTAAAAGATGGCTATTACATGATGTTGTGTCTGTAAGGTTGCCATTGACAGCGCCATGTTTGGCTTATTTATGGGTTGGCCATGACTATTATGTGTGGCATGTCATATAAGCAGCCATACCCTAAAGTAATCAGCTTATTGGAAATTAAAGAGTAAAAGTTTTAAAAAACAAGAAACATTTTTCTCGCCCCAAAACATTAAAGTTTATCGGTTTTTGAAAAATCAGCCATAAAAGTTGTCATCATCCCAGTGCTGTATGTGTTCACCATACCCTGTTTGCCTATCCTTTATATGATTTTCCACCTTAGTGTTAATCAAGACCTGAGAGTTGTACATTGATCTCTAATGTATTACAAGCCTCTCTATTAACTGTTGGGTTTACTTTTGCACAAAGTAACCTGTAATATTGTGGTTTTGGTTTTTCAGATTGGGTGAAGCGGTGGCTAGGACCCTGCTTAACCATCTTTTGAAGATGTTTACAGCTTTAGGAATCTACTCAGAAAGCTTTGAGAAGCCATTTCTTGAGTGCACTTCGGAATTTTATGCCGCTGAAGGTATGAAATACATGCAGCAAGCAGATGTTCCAGATTACTTGAAGCATGTGGAGGTGCATACTCTCTCTCTCTCTCTCTCTCTCTAAATTTTATGGTCTATTTGATTTCCATTGCAGCATTTTTCTTCATGTCTGTATTTTTTGAACATAATGACTTGTTCCAATTACTTTGCACCTATCTAGCTTGTCTCTTTGCACTATGATGACTTATGCCTACCATTGGAGATTTTTGGATAACATGTTGCAGACAAGGTTGCATGAAGAACATGAAAGATGTTTAATCTACCTGGATGCAAGTACAAGGAAGCCATTAGTTGCAACAGCCGAAAAGCAGCTTTTAGAACGCCATATACCTGCCATTCTCGACAAGGTTTTTATCTGGTTATGAATTTTATGATTCTACGTTTTACTTTTCTGTCACTATGCATTGAATTTAAGTAATCATGGTTTCTCTTATATATATATATATATTCTAGGGATTTACATTGCTGATGGATGGGAATCGAATTGAGGATCTTCAAAGGATGTACACTCTTTTCTCTAGAGTCAATGCCCTTGAATCATTGAGGCAAGCGCTTAGCACATACATTCGGAGGACAGGGCAGGGCATGATCATGGATGAAGAAAAAGATAGAGAAATGGTTTCTTCCCTTTTGGAATTTAAGGCTTCTCTTGACACTATATGGGAAGAAAGCTTTTTCAAGAATGAAGCATTTTGCAACACCATAAAGGATGCATTTGAGCATCTTATTAATCTCCGTCAGGTGGCTTTTCATCCAATTCACTTTCCCCCCTTGTTTTATGTGTTTATTTTCTTTAACAATAAAATGAGGAAATGAACCCATCATCTACGATGTGGTTTCAAGTGTTGCACGGTAGGATAGCACAATTAAGCAAATAACTGATCATGGATGTGAAAGTATGTTTTACTTGGTGAGGAATCAGATATGTTTTGGTTATAACATTCCTATCATAAATAACCATGCTTTCGGTTATAACTTTCTATCTTAAGTAACCATGTATAAAATCTTTTTGTCTCACAGTTGAATCTAACTAGCTTGATTCCATGTACATTCCCCCCTTCCTTACTTTTTCCGGTGTGTTTGGAATTCAATTTCATTGTGCTGCTCATCATAGCTAATTTATGTAGACAATAGATATATTTGATCAAGAATTTTTTTTAATCTCCGATAGAACCGACCTGCTGAGCTGATTGCAAAGTTTTTGGACGAGAAGCTTCGTGCTGGGAATAAGGGTACTTCTGAAGAGGAATTGGAGGGAATGCTGGATAAAGTCTTGGTTTTATTCAGGTTTATACAGGTAAGATTGAAGTGTTAATAACCAAATTCAATAAGTTGACCTCCTCACTGTATGAACTAGCAGTTGTTTTGTACATGTTTTCTCTTATTGATACTTGCAAACTGTTGGTAACTGCTCGTGTGTGTCTGCAAAATGAAACTGATGAGAGATTTTTTTCTTGCTAATCCAGGGGAAGGATGTATTTGAAGCATTTTATAAGAAGGATCT